TTAGCTGTAAAGAAAACACTCCTTGCTGGAGTAGTCTCCATGGCTGTACTTTAGTATTTCAAATGCAACAAATGGCATCTGTTTTCACTCTTGAGTTTATTTCATAGATTCACCTTAAACTTGTTTTGTTTGCTGATAGGACTTCAAGTTGACACTGAGTTCTCTGTGGGACCCACAGCTCCACACCCTAAGCAGAGCACCCTTCTTGTTACATAAGACTCTGAAAATAAAACAAATGGAAAAGTTCATTTAATAACAGTTACTCTTATGGAATGCAGATTGTACTTTCTGGCAAATATAGTTAATGACAGTTTGTAGCTGTATTTTTATATTTTTTTAATGTATAATTAACATTGGGGCCTAAGAAATTCGTGGGTTTAGGAGCACAGACCCTTTGTGGTAGGAAATACTGGACATGCTCCCTTAGGATATGTGTGCAAACAACTGTTGAGAGACAGCTTTTCTCTCCATAATTTGTATGGAGAGTGTTGATCAATGGACTGAAAAGTTAGCATTAAATATTTTGAATGCAGTTATTAAATATTTAGTCTGATATTGAAGGGTAGGTTATACAATCCTGAATTCAGTTTAGTGTTGGAACTCACTGCAGTTTGTGAGGGGTTAGTAATTATTTCTACTTCAGATGAACTTTAACTCTTTCCTTCAATATCAAAACTATTCAAATTAGCGAGCAATATGTAGAATTTTCTTATATAAGAAACCTTTTTTCTACTTTCCTAGAGCATTTGGAACTTTTGATTTTTTTCTTTGTCACATGATTTTAGGTGGTGATGCTTTCAGAATAAACCCACAACTGTTGTCAGGCTTGCAGTAAGATCCCAAGAGCTGGCAATGCTGCTGAGTTTGTTTTGTTTCAGCTCAGAAATCTGAAGGAAATCCCCAGGAAATAACACCTTGAGTTCCCACACTGCATTCCTTTCCCCTTTATAAAACTGTGGGATAAATCTTCCTAATACGAGGTTTTGCTTAACTCGCTGAGTCTTTTTTTTGTCTTCTGATCTCTTCCTCCCTCCTGTTCCTCTGCCCTCTGGTTCAAACCTGGTATCTTGGTACTGGCAGACGCGCCTGCCACGAGCACCAGCACCGCCGAGTTTCAAACCCTTGTTACCAAGCCCAGTTCCTGCAGCTTTTGAGGATGGGCAGAGCTTTTCACTCAGGTTTTTTTTTTTGTTCTCCCTTTCCCACTTATCTTCCCTTGTCTTAAAAATCTCTTGCCTGTATCTGCAGGAAGCCAGAAGCCATGCTGTGCTGGTGCAGGCACTTTCCTCTCCCCCACGAGATGAGAAGAGATTCAGCACATGAGTACAGTGTGTGGCTCCTCCTTGAAAAGAAACTAGTTACTTGAGCAATGCTGGGAGGTTTAATTAAAAAACGTTACCTACTTATGTCCCCCGTCCCTGGAAGTGTTCAAAGCCAGCTTGGATGAGGCTTGGAGCAATCTGGTCTAGTGGAAGGTGTCCCTGCCCGTGTTGGAACTAGACAATCTTTAAGATCCCTTCCAACCCAAACCATTCTGTGATTCTATGATCTATCTATCATCTTGTCTTACATGCCAGATGGGCAGGAGGTGATCCTGTGGTTTCAGCAATCTAATCAGCTCCCAGATGGAGCAGGGCATGGCCTGAGAGTATTTTGGAGCTTTGTTTGCTTCTCCTCTCTCCCTGTTTGGGGTTGGCATCCTTCTTTGGGCCACCTTTCCGCAGATAAAGGGAGGGCTGGGAAGTCTGTCCTTTGTTGCACCCAGCGATTTCCCTTCTGGGTTTACCTCCAAGGACCAGAGCTGGAGGACTTCTTCCAGGCTTTTTTAGTGGGACGTGGCATGGCATGGTTGGGCAGAGGGTAGAGCTAGTGAACACTATCAGCTTTTAGTGAACACTGTCTTGCTTTTTTAACCAAGATACCTTCTTCTGCAAAAGTCAGGCTTGGAGATGATTCATATGAAATTTTCAGTTCACTGGTATCTGTTACGTATTTTGATGGGAAGCTGTTGAAAAGGGAGAATGAGAAAGAATTGACCCAAGATGGTTAAATCTCATAAGAAGACAGATTTCCTTTGTTGCTGGCAAACTGCAGCAAACTGGATTTTTGTGCTGAACAGAAGCAGATTTTCAGACTTCTTGAAGGTTGGAGTTTGTATACATATTTTTGTTAATAAATCTGCAGTAAATATTTGCATATCTGTTTTTATCTCCTAGCAGACCAGCTTGGGTATGCACTTCTATACAGCCAGTACAAAAATTCCAAATCTGGACAAAATAAACATCTTTCACAGCCAGGAAGTACAAAATACATAACTGCAAAGCTTTTTTTCCTGGAAGAAAGTGTGTTTTTATCATCTCTCAATAAAACCCAGGGTTTGCAGTGAGACATGCAGGAAAGGCACAAACAGTGAAGCTCAGTGTACGAAGACAAACGAGCAGGAGTGTCTTCATATGAGCTACGTGGCCTTGGAAGGGATTCCCTGAGCAACAGGAATACCTGTGTGAAAACGAGTTAACACTTGCAAATCCCCATTTGTCCTCTCTGCTGCAGACCATAGTGCTGGGATGGAACAGTTTATGAAGGGGATGATATGGAGTCAATAGATTGAGCCATTCATTTCCTTATTGCTTAATTTTGTATAACATAGGTGAACGCCACTAAAAATGAGAGCTTGGGAGTTTGTACTTGGCTGGATGTGAGAAAGATCTTGGTTTCTCAAAAGGTTTAAAGCTTTTCTTGAAGTGTAGCACAGACTGGCAGCCTGAGTATGAAAAGAAAGCACTGTCTTTGTAAGCAGAAGTGATTATTTGATCTGTCTGGGCCGTGTGAAGGTGGCGGATTGCTGGAGGGGTGAGCACACTCACGGTGTTGCAGGGGACTCTGCCTGTCATCTTGCTCCAGATTTCCAGGCTTTTGAAGTCGCTGAGGGTCCTTTGAGGCTCAGCAAGTCGTGCAGGCTGCTTTGTGGGTGCTGATTTGGAGATGCCTCCAAGTGTCCTTGAAGCTGATGAGAAAGTAGAGCAGACTTATTGTGCTCAGTTCTTTTATCTGGCTGCTGTTGTCCCCATGAGTGGGTGACTGTGGGTTTTGTGCTCACTGCCTTCTTGTACTCTGAAAGTGGCCCTGAGTACAGTGATTTCTCATACATGACATCTGAAAAGAAAAATACTGCAGACAGAAATGTCTGTGTTTCCTTGATAAAGGAAGGTCATTTCTTTAGTCACATCTAATGGCTCAGTTGACTTCAGTGCCTCTGTAGATTTATGCTAATCACCTCCAGAAACTGGATGCTTCATTCTGTTTCTCTGTGGAAATATTGATTCAGCTTAAATCAAGTGTAATTCTGCTGAAGACAATTGACTTGAATGGTGCAAGTCATAGGTTTGCTTTGTCTGAATTTCTTTTCAGATTTAACCCAAAATGAGTCACAGAAGCAAGTAGATGGTTGTACCAAGGCAGAGCAGGGATAGTCACTGCCACCACCATTGCCTGCACAGGTTTCTGTGCCATGTGATGAACTGTCTAACTGTTTCCCCACCCTGCTCTGCCCATTCCTGTTGTGATTATGGTGTCATTTGCTCGTTATGACTTTGCTTTCTAAATTGCGTGGCATCCCAGAGAGCCCTGGGGTTTACTGGTGGGCACTTGCCCATAAGAAAAGTTTGCAAGTTTTAAAGTAAGAAACCTGTCAGTAAAGGTGCTGGAATCTATGTGTAGTTTTACTTGGTTGATGGCATACATTTGCTGTATATGTACTTTCTTGAATTCCAAATTATTTGAAAAAAAGCACACAACTCTGCCACTTCCAGGGAAATCTGTAGCTGTGCTGCAAAGGGAGATCTGGGGATGGCTGGTCACTGCAATGGGGAAAGGATGTTGTAGAATCATGGAATAGTTTGGATTAGAAGAGACCTTTAAAGATCATCTAGTCCAACTCCCAACCCATTTCTCAACTGGGGATAGGTCTCAGTAAATGCAGCCCTGGTAAAAGGAAGACGGAGAAATTCCCATTTCTCACACCCTTGAGCAGGTCAGCATCATCTGTTCCTGTAACATTCCTGTTTGGCTTCATGTCTCTCCTCAGGGATGCAGGGCTTTGTGGGTGCAGCACAAGCTGCTCTGTCTGGGATGATTAAAACAGATTTTGGGTTTCCTGAAGCAGTTCTGAGTCAAAATGAAATCTGTGAACCTGTTTTCCTCACACCCTTAAAGGGCCAGTGAAGCCACTGTGCAGCTCAGTGAGACCTGAGGAATTACTGCTTTGAGTAGAAAGCTTCTGCAAAATCAGGGTTTGACATTCAAAAAGAGATGACTCAGTAGAAATGTCTATTGAATACATTTACCTACTGAGTTATTTTTTCATTCTGATCTATAGCATCTTCTTTTCCTTTCTCTTCTTTTGATTGGTACAAAGAAAAACCATGACAGTGCTGCTGAAGAACAGCTGTCTGACAATACTGAGAACATCTTGCACAGAGGCAGTTTCACAGAGCAAGTTAAATTCATTTCAGGAGTGACAAAATTGCTATGACTTGATGGCTGTTGGGTGTTTGTGAGCAGTGTGCTGGGTTTGGCGTAGAAGTTGTAGCATCTGTGTCAATCCTCGTTCTTTCCAGCTTGTCCCTTTGCAGTTCTGTCTTTCAGGTGTCTGTTGTTCTGTGACAGCTGCTTTGTTAATCTCCACCTGTGGTAAATTCAATTCAAAAAGTAGTTGCTGTCTCTTTGCTGCTAGTCTGTCGTAGTCTGGGGTAAAAACCACACATCTCTCTACCTGAGAAGGACCTTGTGAAATAAAGCTCGTGGCTGGCATTAACTCTAAATCACATTAATTTTCAAGGCCAAGCGTGCGTTGTGTATTTGTCTGTCTGGCCCTGGAGCCGGTGCTGTGCTTTGCTCGGGCCGATGATTAGATGACTGTCTAGAGTGAAGGAGAGCGTGCGTGTCCTGCCATCCCCTCCTGGCCTGCTCATTAACCCGCCCCTGTTGTTTTACGGCAGGGAGGAGGCCAGGGAGCCGGACTCCTGGAGCACCTTGTCTCACACGGTGCACTCGGGGGACTACAGCGTGAAGCACCACCGCGGGCTCGACGTGTACCTGCTGACAGCTGAGGCCAAGGAAGGGGCGGCGTCCAGCTGGGAGAGGGACATACAGCACCTCCAGATGCACATGCAGAGCCACCAGCACAAGGTAAGGAAAAGGCTGAGGTGGTGAAGGAGAAGTAGTGCTGCCTGGTTGCTGCTTGGCACCTGGGGAGGGCTTTCATACATAGGCATCTTTCAGGGCATATTTCTTTAGGCATTTTCTCTGGATGCCGTTATCAAGCATCCGGGTGGGCACTTTTTTCTTCCTGTTTGAGCATGGGGAGATCTGATAAAGCTGTATTAGGCAGCAAATGTTCTCTCTCAGAAGAGAAGCAGGCTTGGAGCTGTGCAATGCCTGCTCTGTTTGGCTTTGTGGGCTCTCTCTGCTCCCACCTCCTGCCTTCTCCATTACCTTGGGACCCGCTTGGATGGGCAGGGAAACCTCCCTGGAGACATGCTGTCCTCTGGCAGCTGTTGGGCAGCTAAAGGCAGGCTCTGGAGTGAGGCTGGCTTTGTGGGCAGTGAGCACAGTGGGTATGTCTCTGTTCAGATAGAAAGTTCAGGGTCAGAGATGAGTATGAGGGGAAAGTCTCTGGGGCGGGTGATGGAGAAAATAACGGTCTCCGTAACACTTCAGTGTAAGATGAGCCTGCCTTGGCCACAAAAGGTATGTGTCCATAGTGGTTCCTTCACTGTGCTCCTCTCAGACCCCATGGTGGTTGGACAGCAGGAGCTGTGGGGCTTTGGAAGGGCTTCCTCTCCCTGCTTCAAAGTCTCAGTTGGGATGGGAAGGCGAAACAGCAGAACACTTCTGTGCCATTTCTCAGAAACACCCTCTGTCTTGTGCAGCTACCATCACTTGTGGGTGTTCCTTCATCAGCTCATGTAGCTGCTGTTGCAGAGGTGGAAGATCTAAATAACAGGATATTTTTGTTCCTTTAACTAAGGAGGGGAGAATTCTCAACTGAAAGCGGGCTGGGAGGATGTTCAGAGGTAGGGGCCATCCTGAGCCATTTTCACCCTCCCCTTGGTACCTGAGATCTTAATTTCTCCAGATCTCAACAGGAACTGGTGACATGAGTGGCTAACCATGAAATCTCTTGCCCTTTCCATCAAAAGACTCTAAAGCATGGCCAACATATCCAGCTCACTGCTTGTTTGCTTGTGCAAATGCCAGATGGGTACATTTTGCCTGACAATGAAACCAGAAATAGACTTTTCTTTCCACCACTGTTTTATTTCACATTTAATCTGATTTGAATTTGGAAAGCAGCCCTGTAATTATTTCATTTAGATTTATTTCGGGTCAGTTGAAAGCCAGTTGGCTTCCTTTGGTGATGGCTATATTTTTCAGGCTATCAGCAGAGTGACTTCACTGTGAGGATGCTGGGGCTGCTGCAGCCCCTCCTTTTGAAAATCTTGCTTGTTCCCAAGCAAGTGTCACTGTTGTCTGTGTCTGTCCATCCTGGCTGTGTGGTCTGTGTCTGTCCATCCTGGCTAAGAGCCAGAAGCATGGTGTCCATGCCCTGCTGTGGGGTTACAACCACCAGACTCCTGGCACAGTGTTTGTTTGCCCTTGCGAAAAGTAGCTGCAGCCTGCAGGTACCACTGCACGCAGAGCCCTGTGTCCCATCCCCGGTGCTACACAAGCATGGAGATGCCATGCCTCCAATGCTAACCTGTTTTGGGAAGCCTCAGGGAGCTCTGGCATAGCTGACAGCATATATGGGAGCTGGGTAGCAGGATTATTTTGAATAGGAGGGAGATTCATGGCAAACGCCAGAAGTACATTTAGTGGTCCATGATTCAGTGATTCTGTGGCACTGCTCAATGTTTGCAAACCTCAGAGCATGGAAAGACAAGTAAACACAATATCCTCGAGGTAGCAGTGATGATTTTAGCCGCTATTTGTATATGCAGTACCCAGAAGTTCCCTGTGATGCATCAGTTAACATATTGGCCACTTAATTATTCAGGGTGTTTAAGCTGACATTTTTGGTATGAAGTTTGCTTTCTCTGAGAAATCTTAAACAAAATTTGCAGGGAACTGTTTAAGTTAGACTTCTAGGACACATGTATTTTTTTGAAATATTTTTACAAAGAAATGCAAAAAACCCCCTCAGATTTCACATAGTTCATTAGAGTTTTGTGTTTGTGGAGACTCACAGGCACTTAGCAAGAAACCAGTGTGACCTCAGAAAGCTTATGGTGCAAAGCCCCAAGCAAACCAGGGGAGGTCTGTAGGGTGTACTTTGAGGGACTGGGGTTGCTCGTTAATTTAATAAGCCACTTCTTCTGAGATGTGAACATTGATGTATTCTCTTCTGCAGAGAAGAGAATATGAAAGGAGCTATTGAAACAGGCGGTTCTTTTTAAGTAAAGGTTTGATTGTATCAAACTATAAAAGGTTGACAAAGCAGATGCTCTGGAAGGAAAATGCAGATTAGAGGGGAATTGAATATGTTGCTGCTGTTCCATGATAATGCATGTATTAATTTTAATAGTATGTCATCATTTTGAAATTTTTATTTCCAGTTAGGAAATAAATTTCAGATATTTAATTATGCCTGCTATTCTCAGGAATAGATTAGATGATTAGTTCAGTCCTAGGAGCAGTGGTGTGTTTGGACAGTGTCAGCCAATGCCCAAGTCTGAAGTAGCATTTCCACCCATGTAGAGAAAATTGAGCAATGCTGGTGAGAGCTGGGGAGCAGTATCGGGCAGGGATCTGAGGTTGCTCTTAAACAGCATTTGCTTAAAGCCCTTTGGGACTATGCTGATATATATTTGCGTTATTTGGTAGACTGAATTCTGCTGTTTACTGATCTTGAATTTAAGTGCACTCAAGAAATATGACTACAACTGCTTGAAGAGCAATTACCAAGATTACAGTTCATCTCAGTGGTGGCAGATGGTGTAGCAAGGGGGTAGAGGGACAAATTTCAGCTTCGGGGTGTTCAGTCTGACTGTTATGAAAAAATTCTTCATGGAAGGGTGGTGTGGCATGGGAACAGATTGCCCAGAGAGGCTGTGGGTACTCTATCACTGGAAGTTTTGGGGACTTGGCAAGATAAAGTCATGGTTGACCTGATGTTGCATTGGCAGCAGTCCAGTCTCAGGCAGGTGGTTGGAGTAGATGACCTTCAGATGCTCTTTTCAACAAATGCTTCTGTCATTCTAATAATTTCAGTATTATCTTGTACCAAAACCAACATGTAAAATACTCACTGAAGTATATTTGTAACTCTGTCCTGGGTGACACCAGGTAGAGGTACAGAGGGAGTCACATGGAATATGATTGTGTAGATATAGGTCTTGCACATAATGGAGACAGGGTAAAATGTGACAGAGTAAAGTAATACTTTCTTTTTTGTGTGTGTGTGTCTTGTTACAGAGTTCAAGGCAGCAGACAGAGCCTGTACTGGGGGATTCTGGAGACAGTTGTGCTAAAGGAGCAGAGCCAGATTGTTGCCTGACCACTGCGTCTCAGAGCCTTGAAGAAATGGCAAGAGAAGAAAGGCAGGAAAATCCATCTGATCTGGGTCACCTGGACTTTGGGCAGCTCTCAGACCAAACCCAACAGGAGGAGAAATGCAACAGCAGGAGTTTGGGAACTTTTAATGATACACCCAGTAACTTGGTTAGCCTGGGGGATGGAAACAGCCCAGAGTCATTCTGTGAAAGTAAAAACACAGAGATATTGTGTAAAAAGGAAGAGGTGGGGCCAGCCTCTGCTGAAGACTCTGGGACTGTATCAGATGAGAAGGAATGCACTGTGAGCCCATGTGCAAGTGTAAACGGTGCTGTAAATCTTCCATCCTCTGGAAATACAAATGAGGCAGCTGGAATGACATCTGCTGGAGTTGTTCTGGATCAAGCTGGCTTGGGCAGTACAAATATTGCCCATCAGGAAGTGCAAGGTGCCGAGGAGCGTGCAGCTGGCAGTGCTGCTGCTGTGGTTGCAGCTGCAGGTGAAGCCCCAGCTTCCTCGGAGGGCCTGGATGTGGTTATGGGCCAGACTGAATGCAGAAACTGTGCCGGGGCCGCTGAGAGGGCTGCGGGCCAGCAGCAGGGAGAGGATGGGATGGCAGAGGCGGGCGAGAGGACTGCAAACCTGGAAGAGGAATCTCCAGCTAAGGAGGAGTCAGCCAGTGCTGCTCAGCCCTTACTCAGTGGTTTTAATGGCACTGAGTGTTCGAATGGGGAGGATGCAAACATGGGAGTGGCCTGGGATGGTACAAATGCAGATGGTGGCACTGGCGATGTCTCTGTTGACCTTTGCAAGACTGGCGATAACAAAGAGACTGGATCATGCACTGGTCAGGTAAACGGTGACTTCGTGGAAAGCCAAGGCAATGCCTGTGTCACAGCAAGGCAGGATGTCACTGTGAGCGCTGGGGAAGCACTACCAGCAGTGAATGGAGTGAAGGTTCCTGCATGTGCATCAAAACCTGATCCTGGTTCAGAGATCCATGGCAGCGGTAAGAGCGGGGAGCGAGAAAGGCGGGTGGAAGCAGGTTGCATAGATGGAAAATCCAACTTGCCCTCACTGGAAGGCAATGTGGAAACTGATGGCCCTGATGCTGAACCTGAAAACAGTGATGTTGGTGGGTCTAATGGAAGCGGTGCAGAACCTGAGCATTGCCAGGAGAGCAGTGAGATCACTGACCATGGGGCTGAAGCAATGGAGAGCAGTGAAAAGGAGCCAGTAGGAACTGATACCAGCAGCCCCAGAGATGGAGGAAGTGTAAATTCTGCAGGTCAGGAAGTTGATGGCTGCTGCCTTTCTGCTGCTCAGACTGGCATTAAAGATGAAATGGGCAACAACTTCAAACCAATCATTGCTCAGGAGAGTGAACATGAGCCTGCATCGCTCCCTCCAGAGGACTTGAGCACGGGCCTGGCAGAGAAGGAGCCTGCCCAGACCGAAGCAGAGATAGCAGAAAGTGCTTCAGAGCAGGAGGGGCTGAACAATGAGGTGAAATCGCCCACTCCCCTGCCCAGAGGAGAGGGACCGGCTGTGAGTCAGGAGGGAGATGCTGCAGTGGCACCTCCTGGGCAGGAGGCAGCTCTACAAGGTAATGACCCTGGATTAGTGCCATGTGCCAATGGTGCAGACTGTGCCAAGGATAATTTAATGGGCACACCCTCTGCAATTCATAATGAGGACTCTAAACAAAACCAGGAAGCAGTGGCGGCAGGGGCAGACTCGGCAGAGCTCTCCTGGCAGCACGGCGGGGAGCATGGCGGGGTAGCTGCCGGCAGGCCCAGCGACCGTGCTGGGGATGAGGGCTCTCTGGAACAGGGCCTCTCTCAGGCTGAAGGAGGCAAAGCTGAGCCTGAGTGGGAGGCTCATGCGAATGGCAAGGAGCAGGTTTTGTCAGAGGAACTTCGTGCTGCTCTTGTGAAATCCTCTGCCTGCAGTCTTGGGGGGCCTGTGGTGGGCAGCAGCAATGTGGATGCTGGGCTAAAAGAAAAACCTGAAGAAGCGCGGAAGGCCGGAGCAGTGGCCGCAGGAGAAGGCACCATGCATGGACCTTCGTCAGCAGATGAGTCACTGGGTGCAGAGAGTGACCCTTGTCTGAATGCAGGGCTGAACCAAGAACATGATCCCAGTCAGACCCTACAACGGATCTCCCTGCACAGCAGCACCTCTGAGTTAAAGGACACCTCAGAAATGGGAGCCCCGAGTGATGCCTGTGAGGGTAAGGAAGTACTGAGGCCGGTGACAATGACCCCTGTTGCAGCATATCCGGAGGAGCAGGAGGATACGGACAGCGTGCTTCCCCGGGCAGCACTCCAGCCCATCGCAGAGGAGCCCACGTGTGACAGCGACTCCAGCACCGACACCGTTTGTCCGGCCGGCGAGGGTGATGCTGGTCCCGTTGGGAAAGCAGCTCAAGGGGAGGCCTTGGATGAGCATGATGGAAAGCAAAGCCAAGCTGTACCTGAAATGCCCGTCTCACCATGTTCCTGCCATTTACCTGCTGTTGAGTCACTGGAAAATGTGGGAGTAAAGAGTTTGGTGCCGGCAGACAATGGCTCCTCTCTGGATAAAGTTCCTAAAATGGTAAAAAGTTTCGATGCAGTGGTTTTTGCAGCAGAGATACCTCGTTCTTCTGAATTACCAACCCCGGAAAAAGGGGTGCTTGAGTCCCAGGCTGCAGTGGATGTTGGAGTCAGCCGTAATGGAGAAATGGTTTTAAGTTCTTCAACAAAGAAGAAGAATGTCAGCCTGGCAGTGCAAGGAGCTGAGCCTGTTACAGGTAGGAAAAATCAGTTGGTTTCCTACTTTTTAGATTTTCTTTGTAGGCGTACCTCTAGCATCTCATCAGCAAAGGAAGTAAGAGCTGTAGGCCTGCGCTGCAGAGGAAGTGTAGGTGTTTGGGGTTTTTCTTCTGAGAAAGAAAAAATTTGAAATTACATATAAAAACATCCAATTCAAATGCATGTTGCTGGGCTGGCAGTGGAGGTAAGAACAGGACATCATCTCCTTTGAATTTGTACAGAAGAATTTCTAGCACGTGAATCCTCCCTGAAGAAGGAATGAATGGGAGGAAGCTATTTGGATTACTTTATCTTCAAGTTAGATGCTTTCATCTGGGCATAAGGGTTTATTTCCTTAGTGCTATTGCCTCCCCTTTATTTTTGCTAACATGAAATCAGAGGGTACAGCAGGGATCTCCTGCGTTTTCTTTGCTTGTCTACTTGAAACAGCTGCAAATGTCCCTCTGAACTGCCCAAAGCTGTTTCCTAATTGGCGGCATTAGGTCATTTAAAAAAGCCAGCGAGCCCTACCCCCACCCCCTTTTCCGGGCTTCGTAGCTTTTTTGTCGGACAGAGCAGCCGGTGGTGCTTTCCAGTGCATTTAAGCAGTACTGGAACTCGGATGATGAGTTTTTCCTGCTGCTGTCGGCTGGGAAGCGGAACGGGCGTTCCCCGGGGATGAGCGTGATGGGGGAGAGCGGTGGGACTTGGGGACAGCTCAGACGCCTGGTGCCCGTGCAACAGGAGCTAATAGAAAACATCACCAGGTAACTCCAAAAAGGGAAACAAAGGGGTAAATTGAATAACAAAAAAAAAAAAAAAAGGGAGTTTGTTACTCCAGACTGGAATTAAATGATAGGTGAATTTGGTACTGAAGCATGGAGCTAATCTGATCTTCATATTCCACCTGTTCAGGCAGCTGTTAAATGGAAGCAGCTGAACTTTTTCAGTTGCCATTTTTTTTCTCTGCTGTGAGAAAATGCTACGGTGCTCCTTGCTTTCCCAGCACTGAGCAAACAAACAAACAAAGCATTTAAACAATTAAAAAAAAGTCTGCTATGATATAAATCATGAAGTTGTGATGTTATAAAGGTGTTTCACTGTTTTAATGTTGGGAGCTGTTTTGTTTTTTTTTACTTAATGCAATATGGGATGACAGCAGAGGGTTTGTTCTGATACATGATGGCAGAAAAACTGGGGGCAGGAGAAAGGATTGGGGGGGCTCAATAGCGGGTCCAGCATATCCCTTTTTTTTTCATTGAGTTCAGACACTTAATGTGTCAACAGATAACCAGTAACTATGAGTCAGGAGATCATTAGTAAATAAGTAGAAAGATTTAAAAGTGGATTCGAAGGCCGTTTTCAGAAGGAACCTGTTTTAGTGCTGTGTTGGTTTAACAGTTCAATAGGATGGGAGTGGCTGTAACTCAATACCTGGCAGGGCTCCTTTTTTCTGGGAACCTGCGGCTCTGCTGGCTCCCTCTGTACAGTCCAGGTCTTTATCTGTGGTTGGATTCTTGGAGGCATGACATTGTCTAGGCGAGGTTTTAGAAGGAAAAGTGACTAGACAGTCCAATAAGAAAGTAACTAAAGTAGGAAAATGATGTTAAGACATCATTCTGTGTTAGAATAGGGAAAGGAGGGGGAAAGGAAGTGATCCTGTAACTGATTTACCATACGTAAGGATTTAGGTCTAAAAGGTCTTGGGATACAACGATCTGACCTCGCCTTAAGCAAAAATTGTTTATTTGCAATGAGATGCTGCACAGAGCAAAATTTCAACTGTAATACTGTCTCTTGAAATACTTCGGGGTTCTTTTGAAGCGAAATGTTAGGGAAGTGCAAATAAAATATTGACTTAAAGCAGAGACGAGCGGCTGCTATGAATCCAAGCTTGCTATTTGAAATGTTTCTGAAACTCACCTCCTATAAAGCAGCATCTAGAACTCTGATATGGCAGTAATTCAAGAGAACTGATTTATTGTTTATTATTATTGTTGTGTATATTCTTCATGTTGATGTCTAGCCTTGGGTAGCACATTTTGTGTATGATTTCAGTGATAGCCTTCAATTCTTCTTTGCTGTGCCAGTGCTGGGCAGTTTTCCCTGCAGGCTGGGTTTGTACAGAGGATTTTGTGTCCATGACAGAGTCGTCAGTGCACACAATGAATCACATCTTTTTTTGATGGAATACAATAAAGCCTTCTCAAGGGAAGTGTAGGTCATGAGGCCATTTCTCAGAAACACGTGTAGTCAGAGGATTTTATTGTCATGGTAACTTATCAGAGATGTGATCAGCTGATAATTGCTGTTGCCATTACTCCAAATCATTGAACTCTTTAACTTTTTTATTTATATCGTGAAGCTGCTCTCAAATATACACCTGTTTATCTCATTGCCTCTGCTTAGTTTCCGCCTACTCCCAAAGCAAAAACTTCAAAAGGCTAATTTCCTTATCCAGACAAATATCTAGTGACTGGTCACAATACTGAAGGAAGGTAATTAAGGTAGAACATCCTGCTTTCCTAAGGCATCTCCTCATGCTGTTGGCTTTACACTCAGAGCTGCATTGCAGCTGAGTAATGGGTTCTGCGAGCACATTTTTTGCAAGTCAGGCAGGTAGATACTACTCATTAAAAAAGAAGGGAGTTAGGATATGAAATCATACCACAGTAACCTGGGTGGGTGAGAAGAGAAGAAATGGCATGAATTTATGCTGACAAAACACCTTGGAGTAGTTGCAGTTTCTTGGCAGAAACCAAACCTGGCAAGGTTAGATTGTACGGTTGGGGTTTGTCATCTTAAATTAACAAATACTGTAATTACTGCTCTGTAGCTTTTCTCCTGGGAGAAATATCCCCAGTGTATCTCCTGTAGATCTCAGCCTTTCAAGAAAACATTCATGGACAGATAGAAGTATATCACCTTATTTTGAACTTTACCAGTCTTCACCTCATACTTATAAGTGGCATTTTCCCTATGAAAAAGCACTTAGCATTTCCTTCCCCTGTTAGAGTGGCAGGATGAACAGGTAACAAATGTCACTAATGATACCCCGTGTGTAATTAGGTGCTGTGTGCCCAGAGACCTCTGTGACAACATTATAGAGCTTTTCCTTTGAGATACTTTTCTTAATAGAAGTTTAGGAAGAAGTGGCAGAGTACAAAAAGTTCTCTTGAATTTCATCCTGAGGGCACGTCTTTGTCCTCCAGTTCTTAGCCAGCACGAGGAATCACTATACCACTTGCTTCTCCCATCCTCAGTGGACTAAATGTTTCTTCCTTGAGTATTCTGTCCTTGGACCAATATCTCAACCATCACGGCATTGCCGTGATGCCGAGCAGATCTCCCAGCAAATGGCACTCAACGGAAACTTGTTGCATTACCTCTGATTTTTGAGTCTGCCCACAAACTCATCCAGTTGAGACAAAATCATTGCAAAACCAGATAGTCCCAAAAATCAAGGGTAGATTTAAAGCCAGTGACAGTTGTTACAGCAACTTCCCCATGAAGATGGGAAGCGTCTCTTGCTAAATCCCTGAACGGTAAACTCACTGCAAACACGGGTCGCCCTTAAGAAGGCGTTGTCATCCATCCAGTGTTTGTTTTTAGTAGAAATGAGAGAGGGAGCAGGATTAGAGGGGGGGTTTAGCCCTGACACAGCCACTCTCCATCTGGTTGGCTTTGGTCAAATCTCTTCACTCCTCTAAAAGTGTCCTGTGTGTCGCGAGAGTCATTAGCTTAGGGTTGAAAGCGAATTAGGATGTTGACTTCATGCCAGGAAAAGGTAAGCTGGGGGAACCCCTGGGGAATGGTGACTAATGAAAGTTTTGTTGGGCAGAGAAAGCAGCTGGGACATGATATTTATATTACTGTGGTGGTGACACCATCATGGGAGCATGAGGAAGGGAAGAATCAACTGGGACTTTTGTAAACTCCAGAAGCACAAGGGTTTGCCTTCCTAGTCCAGAGGTGTGATTGTCATCCTTAAGGCAATGGAGGTGGGATGAATTTTTGCAGCTTGTAGATTATATTTTTTTCCAACACTTAAAATACCTGTTGAGAGAAGGCAAGGCTAGTTTCTTGAGTTATCTTCAGATTATGGTAAGAAGAAAAACAGCAAAAATTTTGCTTCTTTATCTAGATGAATTGGAGCCAAAAAAATACATGGGCAAATACATGCAGATGTGCTTGGCCTCACCTTCAGCTTTTCAGGAGTTTTACCCTGTGCTTGCTGCTGTTTCATATTTTCCTTCAGTCATAGACACAAAAAGTTGTTAAAACTAATAACAACCAAGGAGGAAAGTTGGGAATAAAACCAGATGTTGGAAGTCAAATGGACTTGAAGGGGTTTAAGTGGACTTGTTGAAGGGGTTTGGGCATCGGGTTTTCTTTTCATTTTTGGCAGGTTTTTTTGAGACTGTTTTGAGTAAACAGAAAAATACTAGTAGCACTGAAAGGAATTTGTTTTTAAATTACCTTTGTGGACTCTCTGTTTTCACAGGGAAGCTGGAAATGAAAACTGAGGACGAGGTGGATTTTCTGAAAGACGGCACCGAGAGCGCTGCCCGCGAGGAAGTGGTGAGTGCACGTGTTGTCACCTTGTCTCTTGCTGTGCTGTTTAAAGACATGCCACCGCTGCTGTAACCAGCCACCAAACCTGCTGGTTTCCTTTCTGTACCCTCTGCTGAACAGCATCCATCACCATGACGTTGTTTTAGCCTTTTAAAAATAGTCTGAGCTTTTTTAGACCCTGCATTTTCAACCGCTGGATTAAACCACATTTATGTTTTCTCAGCCAATGACAGAGAGACTGAGCCAAGAGGTTGCTTGTGGGGCAGGGTTGTACCAAGATTAGTGTATGATTTGACAAAAGCCATGTCCTGGAATGCACTTGGGGTTGGTGATGCTGTGTGGGGGCCAGCAGCACCTTCAAGGTCCCTGCACCCAGCTGCTGCCTGCGTGGTCCTGGAGTGTCTCTCCATCCTTTCCTGTGCTTTGTCCTTCCGCAGAGTTTTTCGCAGAAGGAACCGTGGCTGCAGTGAATGTTGGTGTGTGGCATCATTAGCTGGGAGTGTTAGTGCCTCAACTGGAAGAAAAATGAATAATGGGAGGACATATAGGGATCAAATGTGGGGTGAAAGCCAATATTGTTCATGTCGGTGAAACAGTATAAAAAGGTCATGCCAAGAATCAGGAATGTGTTGGTATTGCTTTTATTACTTGTGCTTTGCCGTATTTAAGGACTGTCTGTGATTAAAAAAGGTGTGTATTGTGTTTGACATGAACAGAATTTTGATTTAAAGCATCCCTAATACATATTCTGCTTTGTCAAGAGCTGTGTTTTCTTGGTCTGACCTTTCCTAGCTGGATTTGCATTTGCTGATATATTTTATGTATGGTTTCTTGTACCTGAAAAAGTGTTTTGTAAATGCTAAATTGCTGTCAGCCTATGTTGGTGCACGTTGCCTTTGAGCAGCTGTGTTTGTGTGTTCCCTTACCATTATGAAGCTGTTAAAAGAGAAAACACGGTGGGGATGAGTTCACACTGCAGGGTGGAGCTCCAAAAATCTTTGCTCATCATGCAGTAAAGCTCTTTGAGCAGCAGAACAGTCTTGCCAAAGCCTGTAATAAAATCAGGTTTATTATGTTTTTAACAAGTTAAGGCTTAATTTCTGTAGCTGTTTGCTCAGTGAATTAGCCAGGGACTAGAGAAAATAACTTTCCTAGCTAAAATTTGTACTGTCTGATAAGGAAGTCTGTCATTACTGGAATGCGTGAGTGTGAAGATGCTGCTGATTTTTTTATTTTTACTGACTCCTTATTAAAGGTATTCCTGACCAATACTTTGGAATCTGGTAGTGAATTAAGATATCTTTAGAAAATGCAAATTAGGACATTGCCTTTTCCTTTCAAACAGACATAAAAGAAACTTATTGCATTTGGCTTCCATTTTGCATGTTTTACGGGCATTTTGATTTTTGTGTGTGTGCTTTCTTCTCCCTCTCCCTCCCGCCTCGTCAAACACCTCTTTAGAAATCTGGCTTTTCCGAGGCAGGAATGGGAGTGCCAGGGGAATGGAAAGTTTGCTGCAGGACTGACAGGGTTTCCTGTTGCTAAGTTCAACAGAAACAAAATAACAACTGCACTATATTAAGGTCATTTGAAAAAAAAAAAAAAAAAAAAAAAAAAGGAGTGGAGGGCTTATAAATAGAGCTCAGTTCACACGTGTAGGCTGGGCCGGAGCTGGCCGGTGAGAGCCATTGCACAGTGTGCATCTCCTGCCACGTCCTGTCTCTGCTTTATTTAGTGCTGGCTCTTTTTGTAGCCAGAAGTCTTTCAGGTGCTTATTGCCTTCTTATTACAGAGCCATTTTGTGGTTAGTAAAAGTGGTTTTCTTAACTTGTTGCGAATAGAAATGTTGTTGGTTGCACCTGGTCAGGAGCTGCAGGTATTTTGCAGTCTCACCAGTGCTGTCATCAGCTTTGGATCTTGGGAACTGCATTAACTCCTGTTTTATGGGGTTTATGAGAACTTTGCACAATGTGGAAAGCTTTTCAGATGCACAAGTTATGGAAAAAAAGTATTTTGAAGTCTAAAAAGTGCAACTTGTATAGTGCAGTCAGGCTGAAGGACAGTAGCTTGAGCACATGGGGAAGAGAAGGAGGGAAACTCCTGAGCTGGGTTCTGAAGAATTAAAAATTGTGAAGAGTTTTTAGAATTAGCTGTATTCATAATGCCAGTATTACACATATAGTACAGGCTCTCACACTTTCCCCTGTAGTTGTTTCAGAAGACTCTGCCTGAGAAAGACTCTTGCACATATCATGGAAAAGCTGCTGCTGAAAAATGTTTAGGAAAATAATAGTCTGTGGGGTTATAAGCACTGAAGAGAAAATAATGGAAAAATGTTTTTTCCAATTAAAATGGGGTTTTAAAGTGTGTTTCTTAAATTGCCAGAATGATTTCTCAGAGGTTGTATCTGTTCAGCTATAGAAACTCAATAACCAGAACTTCCTAAGCTCCTTTCAGTGTAGGCTGTGGGGGCTCATCCTGCCAGAGACTTCCCTGGTCCTTATCGTCCTGCTTCGTTTGGGAATCTTTAGTAGAGCTGGGATAATCACTTGATGTGATCTATTAAAACCAGAGGTTAGCATTTTTTTTAAATTTAATAATTCTTAACTCTGGTGAGAAATTTGGTTTGGCTTCTGGATACTGCGATATTAAAATAATTTAAAATGGTCCCTGGTGGCTCCAGCAGTATAAAAGTAAAGCAACAGTTTGAAATGAACTGTATCCTGATGTACTTCTCTTGTGTTGATCCCAGAAATTGGTTGTGATTCATTATTTGCTAAATCTTTGTCTTCACGTGGCAGGATGGATAAGGTTGCAGCGCTGAGTTCATCCAATGGCTTCGGTTGTCTAAGCCTGTGAGTGAGAAAGTGTAGCTGGCTGACCTCAGGAACGGAGTTCACTGCGAAATAGCCTTCCCATTGCATTTATTAATTTTATTAGTTAGTTCCTGTTTAATTTAATGCATCCTACCTTTACCACAGGAATTAGTTTCTAATTAATGTCTGTGTTTTCGGAAGTTGCAGCTTGCTAGATAAATGTGGCATTTCTAAATACCTTCACAGAGAGTGAAGCTTGGAAAAAACTTGCACTTTCATCTCTCCACTGATCCAAGTAGTGCAGTAATGTGTGATATATCAGCAAGGTCACTTTCTGGGGGAAAACTTGCAATATTTTCAGTCATGATTTGGAGATGGAGCTATGTTTATAACACTCAGATGACATCAGCTTGGGAGGGATTGCAGGCGGTTGGGAGAATAGGGTCAGGGTTCAGAGTGACCTTAAGAAATTGGAGAGTACATCCAGATAAGAGATAAAAGAAGCCAGAGAGTGATTCATTTGTAAAGGAGAAATCAAAATGTACGTTTACCAAGTCAGGTTTAAGCTGGAGAAGGATGAGTAGAAAAAAACTGAGGATTTCTAGTGGATTACAAATGAATGAACAGTGAGAGGCTATTGCAAAAGAGACAAATCTTATTTTGAGTTATGTTGAAGGAGCGTCCTCCATAAGGTATGGGAGGTGACTTACTCATGTGTGGCACTGTGGAGCCATCATCAGTGTCATCAAATCCAGTTTGGGGTGCCCTGCTCTGAGGAGGACATGGGTGTATTGGAGAGTGTCCAGAAGGAAACAATGAGAAGAGATTAAGAAATGTGAGAAGAGATTGAAAGAACTAAATTTATTCAGTGCAACAAAAAGAAAACCGCTGTGCAATCTAGCAGTCTGCCAGCATGTAATAGTGGTTATTAAAGTCCCAGATATCCATGGCACCTTAATTTACTCATTTGCTAATTTGCCAGGATGATTTAAGCTGGATGTTGAGAAAACATCCTGTTATCATCATAAAACTGTTGCAAGACCACCTAGGGAGGCCAGGAAACCTCCTTCCCGGGGAGTTGTTACAGATAAGATAGATGATGCTCTGTCGGGACAGAGCCTTAGGTCTGTTGTTGCCCGTTGGTTTTGGTTTGTAGGCCCCCAGGTTTGTGCTTTGCTGAACAGGGAGAAGAGGAGGGAGCAGCTTGGCTGGAACCTGGCAGGATGTGCAAGAGAAGGGGACTGGGATGGCAGGACTGCAGGAGATAAAGGTGGGAAGAGGGGATGCACTGGACTGGCTGGAAAAGGGCTTGTGGGAGAAATGAGAGATTCACATGGCATTGAGATAAGTGCTTTGATGGACAGTAGGTGTGAAGGATCCAGAGATTTTTCCTTGTCCACAACTATAGTCTTTCATGTTTCTCTTCTCTGAGGTCAGCACATAAATGGTGAAAATTCTGTTCAAGGGTACAGTGACATCCACTTCTAGTGCCAGTGCCAGCTGTTGGTCAGATCAGGTGGTAGACAAATACTTTGTGACTTAAAACTACTGAGCATTGTTGGTGACCCAAGACAAGGGGTCATTTTAGTTATCCAGGCTCCAATTTATTTTCTTAGGAATTAATTATTTTAACAATCTGCTCTCTCTGAAGATCTGCCAAAATTCAGATTGTCTGTGCACACCGAAGTCCATTTTCTCCATTTGCATGTGTGTATATATGTTTGTACTATGGGATGGCAGTTACAAATCCCTATTTTCCAAAGGGCCTGCAGAACAGCGTGGGAAACTTCCCAACAGCATGGACAATTTCAGAGCAAGTGGCTGAAGTGTTGGAAACAAATCAGAGCCAGGTCTGGTGGTGGAAAGTGCAGCCTTAACAATAGGCTGTGTCCTCACTCTGCCTCTTTAAAATCATTTGTGTAGCTCTCTCTTTGTAAATGTTGTCCTGTAACTACAGTAAACATGGAAAAACCCAGCCAAAAGGGAGCCTGCCCTAAGCCTGGCATTAGTACTAAAGGGTGACACACACCCCCATCAGGTCATGGCTTTGGGCTAGTCATCTGCCAGGCCCTTTCTCACACCCACAAGCATCCTGTGTCTGCCCAGCATGCTCAAAGCAGAGGCTTTGAGATCTGGGAGGAAATTGTGTCAGATGGTCAGCCCTGAGTAAACTCATCGCTGTGCAGGATA